TCCAATAGCGCCCCAGAACGGCCCAAGAGGTTTCCAAGAGCGCCCCAAGACAGCCCAAGAGGGCCCCAAGACGACCCAAGAGACGCTCAAGACGGCCCACGAGGGCCCGAAGACAGGCCCAAGAGGGGGCCAAGAGGGGGACCACGGACCGAAAATCCGAGCATTCCGCCCCAAGAGGGCGCCAGGAGGCCCAAACAGGCCCCCAAGAGGCCCCAAGGGGCCGCCAAGAATCCCCCAAAGAGGCCCCAGGAGGCTCCCAAGGAGCCCAGACGAGGCCCCAACAGAGGCCCCAACAGCTTCCAAAATGGCCCCAAAGAGGCCTCGAGCCCGCCTCCGAGCTTCCTCGCCGCGAGGGTGCCAACACGGCCCCAGACGGGCCCAGGACGGCCCAAGGCGCGCTCAAGACGGCCCAAGACGATTCCAAGACGGTCCCAGGAGGGTGCGCCCAGGACGGCCCAAGGACGCGCCCGGTCGGGGCCTCAAGACGGGCCAAGATGGCAAGAGAGCCCCAGTTGGCAAAAATCGTTAATTTTCCATTGTTTACTGTTACACCCTTTGCGTTTCCCGCTGTTTCGGCGGTCCGATGCACCAAGAGGCCCCAGAAAGTCCCAGGAGGGTCCGAGGAAATGCCCGGAAGGCCCCAAGACGGGCCAAGACGGACCCAGCACAACCCAAGGCGCGCTGCGACGGCTCAAGACGGCTCCAAGACAGCCCCAAGAGGGTGCCAACACGGCCCCTGCTGGGCCCAGGACGGCCCAAGGAGGCGCACAGGAGGGGCCCAAGACGACTCCAAGGCGGCCCCCTCACGGTCCCAGACGGCTCCAAGACAGCCCCACGAGGACCCCGATGGGCCCAGGACGGCCTACGGACGGCCCATGAGGGGCCCACGACGAACCAAGACGGCCCCATCACGGCACACGGTGCCCTCAAGACGGGCCTGGACGGCTCCAAGACGGCCCTTTGAGGGAGCCAACGCGGCCCCACACCTTTCGGGCGCACACTTGGGGGGGCTGGGAGCTTGCGACAAGTCTCCCACATTCATTGTCCTGCCCCATTCTGTTCGCCTGGAGGCCTCCTCCAACCCTGTGGGCGATCAAGAGGAAACCCAGCGGGCCGCCAACCCTGGGGCCCGTGGGCCCCGCGCCGCTTGGGCAGAAGACGAACGCCGGGTCTGACAGGCCAGCTACCGCCCCCCTTTGCCCGATATGCTGTGCCATTCTGTTCCCCCAGGGGCCTTGGCGAACTCTTCGGGCCAAGCAGACCCGACCCCTGGGACAGCAGCCAATTGATATGACCCTGGGACCTCTCCGCATTCTTCGGACGAGCACCTGGGGGGCCCAGGAGATTCGGACAAGTCTTCTCCATTCCTTACCCTGTCCCGTTCTGTTCGCCCGAAGGCCTCCACAGACCCTCTGGGCGAACATAATGGGACATGGCGAACAAACCCTCCCGTTGGCGGTGATGCGACTGGATCGCACCATCAAGGCGCGCCCAGAGGTGATGGCCGACCCAACCGCGGTTTCTCTAAAGATTTTACAGAATTTCAAGTTTTCTTGAAGCTCTCTTGTGCCCTCCCTGTAGATCCTTGCGAGCCTCCCCGGCGCTTTCGGTGGCTTTCCCCGATGGCCTCCCGAGCCCTTCCCCGAGCGCTCCTGAGACGTCTCAGATGGGCTTCGACTTCGATGCACATCCCCGAGAGACTTCGAAACTGTCCTCAATAGGAGGGGGGTGAACGAGCAGTGCGCTGGGCCAAGCTGCTGGAGCGCTGCAAGAGCTCGGACACGAAGGCGCGATCTCGCTGCCGCCGCCCGAGCCGCCGCCGTGTTTGTAGATTTTCGGTACAACCTGCGCCGTTCCTCCGAGAACCATTCCAGAAAGATGTCGTGGACGGAGTCCACGGGTCAGCCCTAGTCTCTACTACATTGCAGGGCCCAGTGCGTGCCAGAAGGGCGCAGGCCCCAATGCACCGAAACCGCCCCGGGCTGGCCCCGGGCCGCCCAGGCAGGCAGGCTCCAGGACATGTCGGGAGGGCCCCCAGAAGCCCCCAAGACGGCCCCGGAGAGCCCCGGCACGCTTAAAGATGGGCCCAAGACGCCCGAGATTCGCCCCAGGCGGCCCAAGAGGCGTCCAAGACGCCCGAAGAGGCCTCCCAAGAGGCCTCCCAAGAGGGCCCCGAGCGACAGAAATCATCGATTTCTTGTGTGTTTTTCGATATTTTCGGCCTCTTCGCTTCTTCGGCTTCCCGACGCTCCAAGACGGCCCAAGAAGTTCCCCCGACCGCTCCAAGACGGCCGAAGAGGACCCCAAGAGAGCCCCAAGACGGGCCAGGAGGGCCCCCAGACGGTCCCAAGACGCCCCAGGACGGCTCCAGGACGGCCCAGGAGGCGCCCAAGACGGCCCAAGAGGCACCCAAGACGGCCCCAGGAGCGGCCCAAGACGGCCCAAGACAGCCCAAGAGGCGCCGAGGCGGGTCTCAGACGGCCCCAAGACGGCCCAAGAGGCACCCAAGACGGCCCGAGAGGGCCCTAAGAGCCCCCCCGGAAGGCCCAAAAGAAGGCCGAAGAGGCTCCGAAACGGCCCCCACGAAGCCTTCAGTGCCTTCAGAATTCCCTCCGAGAGCGGAGGAGCGGACGAGAGGCGACAGGCATATCGCAGGCAAAAACGCCCCAAGAGATCCCGAAACGGCCCCCGCGAAGCCCTAAGTGGCTTCAGAATTGCTTCCAGGAGGGGGGGAGCGGACGAGAGGCGACCGGCATATCGAAGGCACAAAGGAACAATGTTGGACGCTCCGAGGGCCTTCGATGTTTCTCCGTTGGGGAGAGTCGTCGTAGGATCGACGATTGCCGACCGAGGGCAGCGAATCCAGTGGAGGCCCAAGAGGCCCCCAGGAGCCCAAAAGAGATCCCCAAGAGGTGCCACGGGGCTTAAAAACTGCTTCGAAGCGAGGGGGGCGGACGAGGGGACCGCCTCAGGAGGTTTTGGACGGTTTTGGGCCTCAAAATCGTCCGCTTTACGACGGTTTTGGAAGGATTTTGGCCTTCTCGCCTTTTCCGCTTTCCGACGCTCGAAGACGGCCCAAGAGGCCTCCAAGAGCGCCCCAGAACGGCCCAAGAGGTTTCCAAGAGCGCCCCAAGACAGCCCAAGAGGGCCCCAAGACGACCCAAGAGACGCTCAAGACGGCCCACGAGGGCCCGAAGACAGGCCCAAGAGGGGGCCAAGAGGGGGACCACGGACCGAAAATCCGAGCCTTCCGCCCCAAGAGGGCGCCAGGAGGCCCAAACAGGCCCCCAAGAGGCCCCAAGGGGCCGCCAAGAATCCCCCGAAGAGGCCCCAGGAGGCTCCCAAGGAGCCCAAACGAGGCCCCTACAGAGGCCCCAACAGCTTCCAAAATGGCCCCGAAGAGGCCTCGAGCCCGCCTCCGAGCTTCCTCGCCGCGAGGGTGCCAACACGGCCCCAGACCGGCCCAGGACGGCCCAAGGCGCGCTCAAGACGGCCCAAGACGATTCCAAGACGGTCCCAGGAGGGTGCGCCCAGGACGGCCCAAGGACGCGCCCGTTCGGGGCCTCAAGACGGGCCAAGATGGCAAGAGAGTCCCAGCTGGCAAAAATCGTTAATTTTCCATTGTTTACTGTTACACCCTTTGCGTTTCCCGCCGTTTCGGCGGTCCGATGCACCAAGAGGCCCCAGAAAGTCCCAGGAGGGTCCGAGGAACCGCCCAGGAAGGCCCCAAGACGGGCCAAGACGGACCCAGCACAACCCAAGGCGCGCTGCGACGGCTCAAGACGGCTCCAAGACAGCCCCAAGAGGGTGCCAACACGGCCCCTGCTGGGCCCAGGACGGCCCAAGGAGGCGCACAGGAGGGGCCCAAGACGACTCCAAGGCGGCCTCCTCACGGTCCCAGACGGCTCCAAGACAGCCCCACGAGGACCCCGATGGGCCCAGGACGGCCTACGGACGCGCCCATGAGGGGCCCACGACGAACCAAGACGGCCCCATCAGGGCAAACGGCGCCCTCAAGACGGGCCTAGACGGCTCCAAGACGGCCCTTTGAGGGAGCCAACGCGGCCCCACACCCTTCGGGCGCACACTTGGGGGGGCTGGGAGCTTGCGACAAGTCTCCCACATTCATTGTCCTGCCCCATTCTGTTCGCCTGGAGGCCTCCTCCAACCCTGTGGGCGAACAAGAGGAATCCCAGCGGGACGCCAACCCTGGGGCCCGTGGGCCCCGCGCCGCTTGGGCAGAAGACGAACGCCGGGTCTGACAGGCCAGCTACCGCCCCCCTTTGCCCGATATGCTGTGCCATTATGTTCCCCCAGGGGCCTTGGCAAACTCTTCGGGCCAAGCAGACCGGACCCCTGGGACAGCAGCCAATTGATATGACCCTGGGACCTCTCCGCATTCTTCGGACGAGCATCTGGGGGGCCCAGGAGATTCGGACATGTCTTCCCCATTCCTTGCCCTGTCCCGTTCTGTTCGCCCGAAGGCCTCCACAGACCCTCTGGGCGAACAGAATGGGACATGGCGAACAAACCCTCCCGTTGGCGGTGATGCGACTGGATCGCACCATCAAGGCGCGCCCGGAGGTGATGGCCGACCCAACAGCGGTTTCTCTTAAGAGTTCACTGGATTTCAAATTTTCTTGAAGCTCTCTTGGGCCCTCCCTGTAGATCCTTGCGAGCCTCCCCGGCGCTTTCGGTGGCTTTCCCCGATGGCCTCCCGAGCCCTTCCCCGAGCGCTCCTGAGACGCCTCAGATGGGCTTCGACTTCGACGCACATCCCCGAGAGACTTCGAAACTGTCCTCAATAGGAGGGGGGTGAACGAGCAGTGCGCTGGGCCAAGCTGCTGCAGCGCTGCAAGAGCTCGGACACGAAGGCGCGGTCTCGCTGCCGCCGCCCGAGCCGCCGCCGTGTTTGTAGATTTTCGGTACAATCTGCGCCGTTCCTCCGAGAACCATTCCAGAAAGATGTCGTGGACGGAGTCCACGGGTCAGCCCTAGTCAGCTACAGCGCTGGGATCAGCGCGTGCGAGAAGGGCGAGCAGTGGCAGCGGGCCCTGGCGCTGCTAAGGGAGATTGGGGAGGCGAAGCTGGAGCCCAACGTCATCAGCTTCAATGCTGGGATCAGCGCATGCGGAAAGGGGGAGCATTGGCAGAAGGCGTTGGCGCTGCTCAGAGAGATGTGGAACGCGAAGATGGAACGCAACGTGATGAGTTACAACGCTGGGACCAGCGCGTGCGAGAAGAGCGGGCAGTGGCAACGGGCTCTAGCGCTGATCAGCGAGATGTGGCAGGCGAGGATGGAGCCCAACGTCGTGAGCTACAGCGCTGGGATCAGCGCGTGCGAGAAAGGCGAACAGTGGCAGCGGGCTCTGGCGCTGCTCAGCGGGATGTGGGAGGCGAAGGTGGAGCCTAACGTCGTGAGCTTCAACGGTGGGATAAGCGCGTGCGAGAAATGCGGACAGTGGCAACGGGCTCTCGCGCTGCTCAAGGAGATGAGGCGTGCGAAACTGGAGCCCAGCGTCATCTATACAACAATCGGGTCAGCGCGTTCGCGTCGGTATCCCAGTGGCGAGGCCCCCTGTCGCCTGGGCCAGAGGCCTTGATGGCCCTGGACGGCCCCACGGTTTAGGACGGCCCCTAACAGCCATACGCGGCCCTGAGGATAGAAATCGGGGTCCATGCTGCTCGACATGGCTCAGGACGAGCTCAAGAAGGGTCACGACGCCCAGAGAAGCGCCGATAGGGGGCTTCAAGAGCCTCCAGGATACCTCGGCGCAAGGCCCTCTGCAGGCGAAACTATATAATGATCCAGGCGAATGACCCGACCATCTACCGCGTTGTGGTCACTGGTTTCGTTGGAGCTCCTTCTGGCGCCACGAAATGTGTGAGGGGGTGCCGTAATGGTGGTGGTCGGAAGCGCATGCGAACCGTGCCACTGGGGCCGGCGCGTGCGAACGTCACCAATAGGACGGTAGGTGGAGCTCCCGATGGGGCCACGAAGCGTGTGAGGGGTATGCCGAAATGGGTGGCGCGGGCGCATGCGAGCTGCGCCACTGGGACCTTCTGTGGATCTCCCTATGGGGCTACGAAGCGTGTGACGCATGTGCCGAAATTTGTGGCGAGGACGCATGCGAACGGCACCATATAGGGCCTTGTGTGGAGCGCCCTATGCGGCCACGAAGCGTGTGAGGGGTGTGCCGCGGGGATGCATGCGAACGGCACCAGTGACGCCTTTTGGTGGAATTTTCTATGGGCCACGAAACGTGTGAGGGGTGTGCTGGAATGGGCAGTGGTGACGCGTGCAAATGGCACCACTGGGGCCTCAGGTGGAGCTCCCCATGGGGCCACGAAGCGTGTGAGGGGTGTGCCGAAATTGGTGGCGGGGACACATGTGAACGGCACCACTTGGGCCTTAGGTGGAGCTCCCCATGGGGCCACGCAGCGTGTGAGGGGTGTGCCGGAATGGGTAGCGGGGACGCATGCGAACGGCACCACTGGGGCCTTAGGTAGAGCTCCGTATTGCGTGTGAGTGGTGGGTGCACCGGAATCGGTGGCGGGGACGCATGCGAACGGCACCACTGGGGTCTTAGTTGGAGCTCCTCATGGGGCCACGAAACGTGTCAGGGGTGTGACGAAATGGGTGGCTAGGGCGCATGCGAACGACACCGCTGGGTCTCGGTTGGAGCTGCCTGTGGGGCCACGAAGCGTGTGAGGTGTGTGCCGAAATGGGTGGCGGGCACGCATGCGAATGGCAGCATTGGGGCCTTCGGTGGAGCTCCTTATGGGGCACGAACCGTGTGAGCGGTGCGCCGACATGGGTGGCAGGGACGCGTGTGAATGGTACCACTGTGGTCTTGGGTGGAGCTCCCTATGAAGCGTGCGAGGTTGTGCCGAAATGGCAGACCGATGCGGAGTGCAGAAGTATGGAGGTGAGGGGAGGAGGAGGAGGAGGAGGAGGAGGAGGAGGAGGAGGAGGAGGAGGAGGAGGAGGAGGAGGAGGAGGAGGAGGAGGAGAAGAGGGCGACACGCTGGACTGTCTCTTTAAAACGAGGACCCAACTCCACAGGATGGTTGGAAACACAACCCCTCAGGTTTCCGTTCATTTCCAATATTCCCCACTGTTCCGCTCCAGGCCCCTCCAAGGACGGCCCGGAAGGATCTCCGCAGAGCCTCAACGGCTCACCCGAGCCTCAGCGTCGGCAAGCCGAAAAGGCAGAAACCCACAATTAGCCTGGCGAAGGGCCCAACCATCTGTAGTTGTTAGTGCCGCAATTATGGGTATCGTATTCGGTGGAGCTCCCTGTGGGGTCACGAAGCGCTGCACTGGGTGGGGGAGACGCATGCGAAGTTTACCACTGGGGCCTTCGGTGGAGCTCCCTATTGGCCACGAAACGCTGCACTGGGTGGGGGAGACGCATGCGGACTTTGCCACTGGGGCCGTCGGTGGAGCTCCCTATGGGCCGCGAAACGTTGTGCTGGGTGGGGGAAACGCATGTGGACTTTGCCACTGGGGTCTTCGGTGGAGTTCTCCCCAGGGCCACAAATCGGTGGGGCTCCTTATGGGGCCACGAAACGCTGCACTGGGTGTGCGGGACGCATGCGGGCGGTCCCACTGGGACCTTCGGTGGGGCTCCCGATGGGGCCACGAAGCGCTGTACTGGGTGTGCGGGACGCATGCGGGCGGTCCCACTGGGACCTTCGTTGGAGCTATGTGGCCACGAAGCGCTGTACTGGGTGGTGCGTGACGCATGCGGGCGGTTCCATTGGGGCCTTCGGTGGAGCTCCCTATGGGGCCACGAAGCGCTGTACTGGGTGGTGCGTGACGCATGCGGGCGGTCCCACTGGGACCTTCGGTGGATCTCCCTATGGGGCCACGAAGCGCTGTACTGGGTGGTGCGTGACGCATGCGGGCGGTGCCACTGGGGCCGTCTGTGGAGCTCCTTATGGGCCACGGAACGCTGTACTGGGTAGTGCGGGACGCATGCGGGCAGTCCCATTGGGACCTCGGTGGGGCTCCCGATGGGGCCACGAAGCGCTGTACTGGGTGTGCGGGACGCATGCGGGCGGTCCCACTGGGACCTTCGGTGGATCTCCCTATGGGGCCACGAAGCGCTGTACTGGGTGGTGCGTGACGCATGCGGGCGGTGCCACTGGGGCTTTCGGCAGAGCTCCCTGTGGGGGCACGAAACGCTGTACTGGGTGGTGCGTGACGCATGGGGGCGGTCCTACTGGGACCTTCGGTGGAGCTCCCTATGGGGCCACGAAGCGCTATACTGGGTGGTGCGTGACGCATGCGGGCGGTCCCACTGGGATTTTCGGTGGATCTCCTTATGGGGCCACGAAGCGCTGTACTGGGAGGTGCGTGACCTATGCGGGCGGTCCCACTGGGACCTTCGGTGGAGCTCCCTATGGGGCCACGAAGCGCTGTACTGGGTGGTGCGTGACGCATGCGGGCGCTCCGATTGGGGCCTTCGGTGGGTGTCCCTATGGGGCCACGAAACGTGTGAGGGGTGTGCTGAAACGGGTGATGATGACGCAGTGAGGAGGGAGGAGGGGGAGGAGGAGAGGAGTGAGGATGCGGGGCGCTGTCTCTTCAAAACGAGGACCCAACACCACAGGATGTTTGGGAAAAACATGCAAAACCAAAGGGAAACCAATGATTTGGTTTTGCCTCTTGGGGCGCTCTTTGGGGCCGTCTGGGACCCCTCTTGGAGAGTCCAGGGAGCGTTTTGAGCCGTTTGGAACCCTTCGTGGAGCGCCTCGGGAAAGGGGTAGGCCACCTGGAGACTACCACAGGCGTCTAGAAGTGAATTTCCGGCGGGATACACAACGATGCCATGCGAGCATCTGGCCGCATCGGATCGCCCGAATATCGGATTCGAATTGGATCGCCGATATCGCATCGGATCGAAATGCACCCTCGGGTGATGGGGAGGGGGAGGGGGGAGGGCTGGCGGCCCGCAGGAAGTGGGGCGAGGCCGTGTGGCTTTCCAAGAAGGTAGGGAGAAGTTTGGTGGTAACTCACGGGTGCCTCTCATACCATCTTGTTGGCTCTTGCGACTCGACGCTAGTCGACGCTAGTCGACGCTAATTCGGCACTATCCCATCGATTACACGGGGCTAACGACGCGAGTGCATTCTGAAGACGGAGTTACGAGTGTACATAAGGCTCCCATGATTTGCTACCGAAGGAAAGGAAGTCTTGGCAAGGCTCAGGGGCTTTGAGAAGGGCCCGCCAGGAGGTGGGAGGACTTCCGACAGGCCCCATTGCTGCTGTGGAGACAGCCCCCTCGCTTTTTGCGCCCAGCCAGGATGAAGAGGAGGAGATGGGAGGAAACATAAGGAAACAATAGGAAACAGCAGGAGGAAAAACATAGATTTGCGTCCTGACGAGTCGCAGTAATAATTGCTAAATGAAGCAGAATGGAGTAGGGAGAAGTACGTTAGCTCAGCGTAGATGCTCGTGGCTTAGCTTGGCGTAGAGCTCTGAATCGTCGTCGTCGTCGTCGTCGTCGTCGTCGTCGTCGTCGTAGACCGCGGAGGTTTCAAAACTTTCGCCAGGAGGGAAAGGGCTCTTGCAGGAACGGGGCCCTCAGGTTTTTGACATTTCCGGCCTCCCAGAGCCCTCCTGGAGGGTCAAAACCATAAAGTCCTCGAATCTCGACGTTCGAACTTCGTCCCCCCCCCCCCCTCGAGGCGTGCGACGGCTTCTGGTCGAGGGTGGGGAGGACGAGGAGATGGGGGCAGGAGAAGCGTCAGGAGCAGGCGGAGGAACAAAGAGGGAGCAGGGAGAGGGAAAAAGGAGAACCACGGAGGGAGTAGAGAAGGAAGGGGATGAGGATGATGATGATGATGATGATGATGATGATGATGATGATGATGATGAGGAGGAGGAGGAGGAGGAGGAGGAGGAGGAGGAGGAGGAGGGTGACCACAGCAACGGCGAGGACCGCGAGGACAGGAGAGGGCCGAGGCGGACGGACGGAGGCTCCGCAAAATCCACATGCGGGAAAATTCGCAGAGTCGTCCATGACGCGAGCGAAAACGAGAGCCATGGCCGACCTGTGACTAGAACCTAAGCGCGCGTAGCGCGCGCGTGGTTCTAGTGCGTGTGT